GGCCCCAGTTCGGATCCCACATATGAGGGCCAGTGACACTGCCCTCTACAGCTGAGATGCTGAACAACAGCTCAACCTGGAGCTGGGCTGCCATGAGTTCCCAGTGATGGCCGGTGGGTTGCTGTGGGCTACCATGTGTAGCCAGCAGCCAGCGTGAGCAGCAGTGAGCAGCCATCTAGAAGCCGGCGACTGAAGTGCCTCGCCCAGGAAGAGCGCAATGATGGTGCCAACTTGGGCCAGTGACGCAACACCCTCCACAATTAGACTGAAGAACAAAAGGACAGCAACTTGTCTGTTCTCCTTCCCCCAATTCCCCAATAAAAATCTTTATTTTTATTTATTTATTTTTTTAGCTGAGCCATCCTGCCACCTGTTGGCAGCTCAGCGGCTGCTCAGCTCGGGCTGACTCGAACCGCTGTTGCTCAGAGCTCAAACTCTTGAGCGAGCTTTTAACCAACTGAGCCACTCAGCCGGCCCCCCAATAAAAATCTTTAAAACAAACAAACAAACAAACAAACAAAAAATCTTTTTTAAAAAGTTATAAAATAAAATAAAAGGAAAACTGGAAAAATCACAAATATGTGGAAACTAAACAACACGCTTCTGAACAACAAATGAATTTTAAAAATCAACTATATTTCTATACATCAATGAACAGTTGGGAAATTCTTTATATAGAAGTGCAAAGCTGAAGGATTTACATTATCTGATTTCAAGACAATGGTTTACTGTCCTAAAAACCTATGAAATTACAGTAATCAAGACAACGTGGTTTTGGTGTAAGAAGAGACAAACAGATCAATGAAACAGAATAGAGAAGCCAGAAATAGACTCACATTTATACAGTCTATTGATTTTGTAATGTACCAAGATAAGTCAATGCAAAAAGGAAATGCATTTTTCAATGGAAAGAGAATCTTGACCCTTATCTAACATCATAGACAAGAAAATTAATTCAAGATCTATCACAGGCCTAAAAAAAAAAAACCTAAAGCTAAAACTCTAAAGCTTCTAGAAGAGAACCCATGAGAATTATTTTGTGACCTTGGAGTTGGCAAAGATTTCTTAGACAGGACAGATAAAACACTAAGTATAAAATATTGATAGATTGGATGTCATCCAAATTAAGACCTTTTGTTCATCAAAAGACAGCATTTTTTGAAAGTCACAGGCTTGGGAAAAGAACATTTACAACACATATACCTGACAAAGGACTCATCCAGAATATAAAATCTTCTACAGCTCAATAATAAAGATAAGCAACCCAATAAAAATGGTCAAAAGGCTTAAATCAATACTTCATATAAGAAAATATACAAATGTCCACTGAACCCATGAAAAGTCACTCAACATCATTACTTATCAGGGAAAAGCAATATTCAAACCACAATGAGCTACCACAATATACTCATATCCATTAAGATGACTAAAATGAAAGGAAAAAAGGAGAACCAAATGCTGGCAAGAAGGAACAACTAATTTGGAAATCAGTGTGGCTATTTCTAATAAAATTAAGCACACACCTACACCTACTCTATGACTCAGCAATTCCACTCTTAGGTATTCACTCAAGAGAAATAAAAGTGTATGTCCATAAAAAGGCTTATACAGGAATGCTTGCAGCTTATTATAATCATAATAGCCAAATACTGGAAACAAGTCAAATGTCTATAAACAGGAGAATGGGTGAATAAATGTTAAGTGTACTCATAAGATGATGTTATTAAACAATATAAAACAAAGAACTAATGATACATGCAATGACGTGGATACATCCTACAGACATCATGTTGAGCCAAAAAAGCCAAACACACACACACACAAAATGTATAATTCTACTTATATGAAGTTGTAAAACATGCAAAACTAATACATAGTGAGACCCCAAATGGGAACCCAGATCAGCAGGTAGGAATAAAAGCCCAGAAGTGGTAAATGTGTGGGTAAAGAGAAAGGCCCATTTTTTAAATTTTCTTTAAATACTGTTGAATCCAGTACTAGCAAGATGGAGTAAGTGTACGACAGCTGATCCTTCTCAATGATTACAACTAAAAATTTTGAATAGAATACAAAAAGCAACCAGACTTTGTAAATAATAGCGAATGGATTGAGGAAAAAAGTCAAAATTTGAAGAATGATCAGTTCCAGTTTCCAGGTCAAAGCAGAGGGCAGCCCAAAATACAGAACTATAAAAGTGTAGACAGCACATAATCCAAGAGAAAGTCCTTTTTTTTGTTTGTTTTCCAAGATTTTTTATTGGGGAATCGGGGAAGGGAAACAGACAAGTTGCTGTCCTTTTGTTCTTCAGTCTAGTTGTGGAGGACGTCGCTTCACTGGTCCATGTTGGTATTATCATTGCGCTCTTCCCGGGTGAGGCAGTCAGTCGCCGGCCATTGAACGGCCGATCATGGCGGCTCTCACCAGTTGCCAGCCACTCATGACAGCCCAGCTCCAGGTTGAGCTGTTGTTCACCATCTTAGCTGTAGAGGGCAGTGTCACTGGCCCATGTGGGGTCCAAACCAGGGCCCTGCTGCTCAGAGCTCATGCTCCCAAGCCAACTCTTAACCAGTTGAGCCACTCAGCCGCCCCGAGAAAACCCTCTTTTTAAACACAGAATCAAAGGGCCGGCCTAGTAGCTCAGTTGGTTAAGAGCTCGCTCAAGAATGCGAACTCTGAGCAACAGCGGTTTGATGCCCAGCCTGAACTGAGCTGCCGCTGAGCTGCCAACAGGTAGCAGATTGGCTCAGCTAAAAAAAAAAATAAAATAAAAATAAAGAGAGACTCAAAAAGAAAAATAAAAGAAAAACAGACACCTCAAGGCAGAGACTACGGACAGCATCCTTCTTTTTTTTTCCATTTTCTTTTTGCTCCCACTGCTCTGCCCCCAGATTAAGTAACAGAGCTGCACTCCACCGAGGTGGTGCTATGAGCCCCTGAAACACCATCTCCTTGGCTGGAGGAAATGTTCAGGACACAATCCAAAATTATTCAACATGTGAAAAGCCAGGAAAACCTGACTCTCAAGGAAAAAGTCAATTCATGTTAGAAGTATCACACAAAGACTTTTAAGCAGTTAGTATAACCATCATCCATGAGGTAAAGGCAAGCGCTTTCTAAACGAATGGAAAGAGGCATTCTAAGAAGCAACATAAAAAATAAAAAAAAGGAAACAAAATGGAAATTTTATAACTGTAAAATACAATATCTGAAATAAAGAAGTCACTGGCAGGCTCATTAACAGAATGGATATAACAGAGAAATTAGTCGATGAGTTTGAATATAGAGCATAGAAATTCATCTGAATAGAGGAAAAACATTGAAAAAATAAATAGAGCCTCAACAATCTGTGGAACAGTATCAAAAGGTCTAACATTTACGTTATTGGAGTCCCAGAGAGGAAGGAGAAATTGGTATAGAAAACTTTTTGAAGAAATAAAGGCTAAAAGCTCCCCAAATTTGGTATAAGGCATACATTTATAGATT